GGATTCCTTGTAAGACCAGGAATATTTTGAATATAAATGTCATATATTTTGGACAAAAGATAACATACTTACTCAGATTAAACATTTTATCTAAAAATTGTATGTTTAATGCAAAAAATATGTTGTTTATATTCAAAATGATCACCAAATTATAAGAATTCCAGCAATGTAAACTATATTCTGGCTGGGTAATTTGTATGAATTTTATGAGCTAAAACAGGCAGTCAGGCAGGGTGGCGGGTGGGGGGTGGTGCGAATCTAAAAATAGCTCTCGAGCCGGACACTCACCGCGTTGCTGTGGAAAAATCCGCGTTAAGTGAAAGTTCAGCTTTGGCAAGGCACCGCGTATATGCGAAAACGCGTTAAGTGAAAGCGCGTTAAGCGGGGTAATACTATGTATATATATATATATATATATATATATATATATATATATATATATATATATATATATATATATATATATATATATATATATATATATATATATATACTGTATATATATATATATATATATATATAGGTGGGCGTGATCCAAGTATATGCTGATATATATGGCAGGACATGCAAATTGTTGTTACTAGAGATGTAGGTGAACAGGGATGACCTTTGCTCTGTACTGTATTAGGTTTGGCATGACAAGAATAGTACAATAAGTAAGAACCTTTTTTAGGAAGATTTGGTACATATGAAAAAAGCGGTAGTAAGCTGTGATAGATTATCCTTAACCCAATTTTGAAATAAGTGGGATGTTGCTGTGCCTGTATATTTTTATTAGAGAGTAAGCAAGGGTAAAGAAATATATGGTGGAAAAGACTAGACAATGGGATTACAGTGACTTACAATACCTCCAAATTATTAAAGGTAAAATAAAAGTATGCAATGAAAAACTGCCCCTCACTAGTAAATAAATTGGAAACACCCTTGTACATACAAAAAATAAAATAAAAAAGTTTATTTATCTACAGTACAGTGTTATTTTTAATTATATACCTGGATGGTTAGTCTTTCCAATGATATTTAAAAAACATAAATATACAGGGGGTCTCGGGTTACGAATGGGTTCCGTTCCTGAGGATGTTCTTAAGTCGGATATGTACGTAAGCTGGAACACATGCTTTGTGCATACCATACTTACAGTACAATGTTTATAATCCCACTATTTCATAACCGATGCCCTTATATACATCTAAAATCACCTAATTTAATACAAAAGAAGAAATAGAATGACGTAAATACAGTAAATAAAAGTAAAAAATAAGTCATCAAGTAAATAAAATACTATAAACTTGAAGTTTAACCCCGTTCATGTCAGCGGGTGTTCTTAAGTCAGGCGTTCATAAGTCGGGGACCCCTGCATATTTTTCATTAACCCTTTATAAGGCAGGGAGTTTCCCTTGACTGAATAAAATCATCTGACATCAGTCAGAATAAAATACCTAAGTGTAGAGGTCCCTCTCAAGGGTTAGTTGAGACAGGCCCTAATTCATACAGTGGAGTCATGATAATTCACATGTTAGGAAGCAGAAGACATCGTGAATTATCAAATCGCAAACTATAATTGAATTGATTTAAATGTAAAATGTATTGTTTACTCATGTTTAACCCCTTCAATAAAGTGACTTTAATTCCCTTCAATATGATGACTTTAATTCCCTTGAGTATGATGGCTTTAATTCCCTTTAGTACAATGACTAAAATTCCCTTGAGTACAATGACTTTATTTCCCTTGAATATGACAAATAATTCCCATTAGTATGACAACTTTAATTGCATTGAATACAATGACCAGCCAGGGAAGGAGCTGTTTAAGTCACACAGAATTATTATTTGTACTGTACAGTATTTATGAGTTACAGTCGACCCTCGTTAAAACGGACTAATAGGGGGGAAGGGTGTCCGTTTTAGCCGATTGTCTGAATTAACCGATTTAGGGTTTAATATGGCATAATATTGCATTATATTTCAAAGAAAATGCAGTGAGTTTGTCCTTAGCCTTGCATATGTCCGAAACTGTTTGCTTTTTAACACCATACTCGTCACAAACTCTAGCCACCGAAGCACCAGCCTCTAACTTCCTTATAAGTTCCAGTTTCTGGTTCACAGAAAGGGTCACATACTTCCTCGGCATATTAGAGGTACTCCCCCATGAAGACATGATGTAAAATACAAGGCTGAAAGATGCCTAATCACTGAAATATCAACGAAAATTGCAGGGCAACACAACACTGATACTCGAATATGGCGCTAAGTCAACAATGACTGGCAGTCTGGCGTGCGCCATCTATCGGATAATCCCACAACCAGAAATTTGATACGGACAGTCCCTCGCTTAGTTCAGATGTTGCCCGATTTATCCGAAATCCGGATTAAAGGGGTCCGAATTAACGAGGGTCGACTGTACTGTATTTTTTTTATGTATTATGTATGGTATTTAGTGTTTATTAAAGTCGTGTTACCAAACTATATTTGATAAAAAATAAAAAAATAAAAAAAATGGTATTATGATGAATTATCTAGACAAAGAAAATACCAAACTTTTTCATATACAGTGAACCCTCACTTTACGCAGTTAATTCAACCCACGGCGGCCCGCGTAAAGTGAACAACATAACATATGGGATTAATTGAAATAGAGACCGGGCCGACCCCCAAACTCCACTTTTTCAGACACAATACCTACGTTGTAGTAAAAATAACTTCTTAATTTTATGATGGTATGCACACACAATTAATAATTAAGAGAAATATCAATAATATTAGGTTTTTTAACACTTACATTAGTAGAAAAGATGGCTGGGCACACGGGGATGGGGGGTTGGTTCCGAGGCAGAGGGCAGATTATTGGCCCTCACCTGTATCACTTGTAGGCTTGCAGGGCCTCTTTGTCAAACCCTTCAAAGTCCATATAAGTCCATATCCTCGCTATCATTATCACTATCACTGACTTGGGCCGGCTGTGGTGGGTGGCGGGTGAAGAACTCGGTAAGGTTTTGATGACTGGGCGACCTTGTGCGCACCCTGCTCGCGCCGCTCTCCGCGTAAAAGGGTACACACACCGCGGAAAGTGAGCATTCCGGTTTCGGCAGGGTACCGAGTAAACGAGTAAAGTGGGACCACGTAAAGCGAGGGTTGACTGTACAGTAAACCCTTGAAGATCCGGACTTATAGGGGGGACCACTGCCCGGAAAAGCCGATTGTCCAAATCTTCCGGTGGATGTACTATGAAGAGGAAAAAAAAGTACACATTATCCTGACTACTGGGGTTAGTTATAGACACCTTTTCCTGTGAAAAGCCATAATTTTGAGCAACATATTACTGTACTCATTTGTACTCAATGTACCACACTAAATGTCAACTTTTTTATCTCTTATATGATTTACTGTATGCTGATCAAAGTATGGTATTGGATTTGTATTTGTATTTTGGATTTGGTTCATACCAAAAAACTTTCTATACCAAACTGGCTGCTCACCAATTATCTCAGTACAGAGATGCAATACCCTGTACTATAATAATAAAAAAACAATGTTAGTTGTTTTTCCCACCAAAAAAATACTCCAAATGTTTAGCAATATCTCTCGACTGCCTGATAGCAATTTTCACCAGTTCTGACATCAGCTTAGGCCCACATTTAAGGCATGTTCGTGGTCAAATGGTACCATTCTCTACTCATCTTTATGTCTTCCTTGACAAGAAGAAAAACAAAGTACTGTATTGGATACAGCTTGATCTTCTTATGCTTGCTGAATCATGTGCTGGAGTGAGTTTCTGTTGCGATACAGTATTACCAAACTACCAGCAATACATGAGTCACCCTTTGTTGGATTCCCATATCCATGATGGACAAGCAATATCACCATTTTGTATGTACAGTAAGCTCCTATGATAGCTACTAGATGCTCAAATAATGCAATCATTAAATTCACTGATGCAAGCAAAGATTTATTCTAACATGTACTGTACTGACAAGATTATTCTTGTAACAATATTCAGTTTGCATTATGGACCCCACTTCATTACAGACTGAATAACCTTCGTGCATTCGTGCAGTTCTCTCTATTTCTATGTACTGTACCAACAAAACCAACAACCAGAATTCTTCAAGTTTACTGTAATAAACACTGCAGTTAAATTTTTGATAGAAGAAAGTGTAGATATTATCAACAACTATAAACTGTACAGTATTGGGATAAATGCTTACAGACAACCTCGAATAAGCTAAGTCACAGAGGTGTGGATCAAAAACAAATTATGATCAACAAATTATTCCAGAAAAAGATGTAATAAACATTTTAAACTCGAAAGATATAAAGACAAAAATCAACTCTTTAAAAGAAGATAGTAGAAACAAGGAGATCAAGTATTATTACAGCTGGCTATAGCCGCCTAAGGTCATGCAAACCTTCAATAAGTAATGACGGTAATTTTCTCAAACTAATGTTTTTCCCCCTTCATTTTCACAGTAAATCATCAAATGATCATAAATGCTCTCTCAAACCTTTAATTTTCCTTTTAGTTACAAATACTTTTCCATCCACTATCATCAGAGTTTCACTTATTAACACCTTGCCATTTTCTGTTTTTACCATCATTTCTCATTTTTGTAATGGTAAAAGGTAACCTTTATCTTTGTAATACTGTATTTTCCTTCTTCCAAAAGTAAGAAAATGGCATAATATTATTGTAAGTTATAATTCCAAGTAGCGTGTACAGTACAAATCTCCAACAAAAGTCTCAAGTTTTTCAGCTAGTTTTACTTGAAAGCAGAAATGTTTGAGCAAGCTTCTAAATATGGCCATCTCCTCAGGGAAGGACAGATCCCAAAGGAAGCAAATGATCAAAAGTATAAAGATATAGAAACAAGGAAACCACTGCAAAACTTATGTTGGGTAGATAAAGTGTTACATAAAGCTGTGTCAGGAAGAAAATATAAAGCAACTTAAATATCACATTTGAAAAAAAATACTGTATTATATATATAAATATCATCACTTACTTTGACTCTGCAGCTTTCTGGCAATCTAAGGCATGCTGTTCCACCAATGGAGGCATGTGAGAATCTACAGTTTCCTTTAATCTGAAACAATGTACAGTATTGTTTATTAGACATGTACTCTTAATAGTTTTGTGAACAAGCTTTCATTCTAGTGATTTTGTGGATGTGTGCAAGTGTGACACTGACATACTGTACACGTGTATTATGATAATCTGAAGTTATGAAGAGTAAATTTTGTCCCGTGATTCAATTTATGACCCAAAAAATCTAAATTACTATTATTTCTTCCCTATACACTGTGTTCATAAATTTTTCTTCAGCAATTACGAAAGTAAGCTAAAACAATGCAGATTTTACTACAAATATGCTTACTTATTTCACTAACTCACTTCATTATTCTCCAACACTCGCAATATGACTAAATGTACAAATACCTGATAAGCTTTCACAGTGTCATCATTCTCCAATAAGCACCATATAACTTACTCCTCAAACTCACTGGGGACAAGTTGAATTATTTCCACCATCACAGTCACTCGTCCAGTTGTCTGATTGTTCAGTTTCTCTTAATCTACTGTATTCTCATGCAATATGTGGCAAATTAAAGAAAAAAAAAGATTCAATAATTCTAAATTTAATTTGTTAATTACAGAAGTACCTTGATACACCACACTAATTGGGACGGACCCCAGTCAAAAAAAGTGAATTGGAGGGGGGGAGGGGGGACCGTTTCAAGAAAATCAGATATAAATCTGGTTGCTGACAACTGTTTTCACTGATATAACTGTTTTGTACTGTAAAGTTTTATATTTAACTAATGGTAACCACAGAATTTGAGGAAAAGTAAATTCAATGTGCTTGTGTGCCTTATGAATAAAGAAAAAACTGGGAGATGAGTGTATCTGGGAGCAGCAGGCGAGAAGTTGCGCGGGTGGGTGGCTCCATCCCCCAGGACTACTTTAACTCTTCCCATATTATTTAGGTAGGCTCATTTAGTGCTGAGTTGATATAACATTATCATAAAATAAATCAACTTTCCCCAAAAAAGAATCCCACACTTAATTCCAGACAAATCATTGTCGGGTTAAATTCCTTGTTGACAAAGCGTGAACAGCCATTTGCTCTTTCCCCTTCACCACATTAACAGTGCTCTTCATCTCTCTTGCTTACCACAACATCTGTCTTCAGCACTTCTAAATAATATGGTAGTGCATTATGCATCTGCATATTCCCTGGTTTATTCATTAATCAGTTGTCTAAGAGCACAGGTAGCCAAAATGAGCCATCATGTATCTCTCAAAATAAATAAATAATGTTGTTGGGAAAGTATCTCCATATCAAATACTACACAGTACAGTACAGTACATTATTATGGTCCTGTTGTCAGCTGATTTACTGGATTTTCTGAAATTTTTTAAATATTTCTGGTAAATACTGTAGAGGGGTGGTCTGGAGCACCCCAGAGAGTCCGAAAAAAGTGAATTCCGGTGTACGGGGGTTCTACTGTGTGTACAATAAAGATGTAGGTTATATAAGAGAAAGTGTAGAATTTAGAGGTGAAGAAAGGTTTGAAGGTGTGGATATTACTGGACTGATGGCAGCATTTGCACCATGTAAGCAAAGCAGAGGGAATTTAGAATGATGGAAGAACTTATCAAGGGTCGAGCATGGGATTTTTTTTTTGTAGCGAACATGTGTCCAATTTGGATTTCCTGCAAACCTTACCTTTTCAGTGGTTCTTGTAATCTGCTCTCATGTCTCTCTGCCAAGAGGTTCTTTGCACGCTTTACTATAGTTTGAGTCCCACAAGGAAGATGTTGTGAAAGATGATTGTATATCTGGGTCTTCTTCCTTCCACCTATTTTATTTAGTTTTATTTCAATGCTGCAAACAGACAATGGATTATGAATAAGATTCGGTTTACACATCATCCACAAATTTGTCTCGTCTTGTACCTCAAAACTCAGTTAGTAGAATATGTACATCACTCTCAGGACATGGAATCATACAGTATTTCTTAATATTTTCTACCTATAATCATTTTCTTCGTTCTTCTAGATTTTTTTAAATAAAAAGTTTGAATTACAGAATACTTTATTTCCAAATACTGTAATGTAAAGGAGAACAGGGTAAGGTAGTGGTATGTTCAATGCATAATTTGTACAATATCTGGAGATGGGATGAAATAGGGAGGTGATATACATTATAAGGGAGGGAGGGGAGCTGCCAATGGGATTATGGGGAATTAAACCGAGTCCAAAATGAATGGATATGGAGAAACTGACAGACAAGTGTGCATTGAGGAATTGACAAGAGAGAATACGGGAATACCTCTCTATTCACAAACTCGCTGATTCGCAATTGATATTTTAGCATCCTTATTTGATATTGGCAAAGCATACTGTATCTGGCTTATTCATATAACAAACAAGTGATCGCGAGCCCTTCGTGCTCGGTGAAAGTTTGAACGCTGGTGCTTGGCTAGCGTACAGCAAATGAGGGTGCGCCAAGTCCGTAGACTTGCATCGTTTTCCATCGTAAATTAAATGCTTAATTAATGCCTTCCTAAAGAAACCATCGACATGGGACCAGGTTTGTTCCACTCAAGGAATTTTTTGCGATTTTTCCACCAAGTTTGATGAAAAACGATTGTGCCTTTTCGGCTGCCCAGAACAGACAGAAAGACACACGGCTATTCCTATAGTATATTAGATTAGAAAAAATAATACATAGAGATAGCATGTTGCTATAAGATTAAGCAAAACGAAGAGCATGGGTAGGTGTGTGAAGTGAACATGTGTGGACTAATATATGCACACACACAATTGTTCATACAGAATGTGCAAATTAAATAAATAAATAAATAAATAAAAGATATGACTATTAAAAGGTAAAAAAAAACATACGAGAATAAAAAAAAAGTATGTCCTCGGCAGTTAGAGTGTGGGAGGGGAAAGGGCGAGCAGGAGGGGTGTGGGGCGTCAGGGACCCCAGCCTCCCCCTACCAGGCCAAGCTGTGAGCAGTCACTGGTATTTTTGAACTCGTAATTTCATGTAGATACCGTCTACGGAATTTTCCTTTTTTTTTTTTTGCTGTTACATGCACACAAATTTCTTACATCTGCGAGAGTTAGTGTGTGGATCATAGGACGAGGAGGAGGGAGCAGTGTCGGGGATCTACGCTGCTCCAATCTCCCGCGTGTAGTAAAACCATGTGGGATTTTTTTTTTTATTAGTATAATTTTGATTTATTCTTCACATTTACTGGTACTACAGCTTACAGGTGACCCTGGTCCCCAATAGCCTCGGATAATGAAAAGTGTATGTCGAAATATATGTGCTGAAAGTTGCCAGCTGGGAATGCATCCCCCCTTTAATTACAATGATCTTATGGGGGAAACTGCCCCAATATTCATTAATCACTATGACTTTTAGGTACGCATTCTTTGTGATAACCGGGGTATTCCTGTATATGACTCAAAAAGAAAAAGTCAGAATTAAACAAAGAGGCTCAATAAAGGATAAGACATGATTATTTTACTATATGTAGATGGACAGATCACTGAAAATTTTTATTTGAGTGATGTATGACCATTACTTGACAAAAGCGAGGTTAACAGAAAATGGTTGATTGGCAAGTTGAAAAGAAAGAATGGGTACAGATCAAAATAATGTTCAGTCTTATAAAGTGAACCAGAGGTGTGTGGGCACAAGAAAGACAAACAAATAGGGAACTGTGGGATAAGAGGTTGGGAGGGCTCATTAAGGAAAACAGAAGAGCCTATCGCTGTCAGTTTCAAATAAAAAGTAAAGATAATGATAAAAGAAAGCACAAAGAGAAAATTAAAATTGAGAGATAGTTTACTACAAAGTTCTGTAGAGAAAAAGCTTTCGTAAGTGAACTAGAGAGTAAAAAAAATTATAAAAGACATGGAAACAGCATTTAATAGTGAAAGAGGGGACTTGTTTCAGTCTAAAACATAGAAAGTGAAAGGCAAATGGGAAGACTATCTTGATAAACTACATACTACATGTAACAGATGTGAGGTAGAATTATCACTTTTAGACGGTGGCAGTTTGAATAGTGTTAAAGCAAAAGCAAATAAAACTAATAAAGTAAAAAACCTAATGTGAACATATTTTCTGTAAACACATCTTAAATGCAAGAAACATGCATCAACTAAGTGTGGCCAGTTGATAAGTTTGTTGCTATACTGCTCTTCACTCAGACTGCCAAGTTAGGTATCAATAGAAAGGCTATTTCTTGTATTATAATGCAATGAAAGCATAAAGAATAGGATCTTTAGAAAAGAATTGGAGTGATGGGGAAACTCATCTATAGTGGATTACACCTAAACCGGCCACTGATAAGATTTAAATTTCCTGTAGCCAATCATGAGGAACTAATGAGAGCCTGAAACCTAACCCTCTACTTCCCATTGGCCCAATGCACTTTCATTATTTGATGGATAATTCAAACTTTTTGGGAACCTTTCTAATATCTTAATGGGTCCCTAAAGGGTAAAGCAACTAAATAGAAGTGACATTTCTTCACTTGCTTTGGCAGTGAACACAATAAGAATGGTTGGAAAAGGGAACCGTATACTTGTACACCCCTCCCCATGTCGGGCAACTAGGATGGGTATGGGTGGTACAGTACCTGATAAGCAACCACCTCCAGTTAAAAAGATCTGAAAAATTTTATCATAATATGCACAAATCTAGATAAGAGTTTTATATATGCCTGTACAGTACTATACTTGTACTGTATATAGTATTACAAAATGTTGCCACAGACAATATTCACTTGCCTTACCTTAATAGTAATTTATTGACAGCATCTGTAAAGAACTTCTGACTGGAACCCTTGGATGAGCGACCTTCCTCTTTCAATCTGTTTATTACCTGAAAAAACAAACATGTTTCTTACAAAAAAATTTATAAACATACCAGTGAGCCAAGTGAGGTAAAGTCAAGCAAACATAGTCTAAGAATTTTAGGATGGCTTATCGGGTCAATCCTCAATTATCATACAAAAAAACTGATACCTTCACAACAGATACTGTGAAGGGTATAGCTCTAGAGTTGCATGAAAAGTCCCACTGGATCAACCTTGTGCTGAATTTGATACCAGAAATATATATATATACTGTACAGTATTTGCTGGTAATGTAATGGTATCATACACTTTCAGTATGTCTTTCTCATGTGTGTTTATATAGTAGACTGAAGAATATGATAGATGGGTTTCCCTCACTTTATACATATGTAATATTTTTTTTTTATGTTTGAGAAGTTAAATTGGACACATGTACATGAAACTGAATTTTTCCAAATATGTGATAGGTGGGAAGAATATATCAAATGAAAACATTTCTAACCTGACCCTGACCAATAGATTGGTGATACTGTAGTTGCTTTGGTGACTGAACTCCAAAATTTCTTGTCATAGAGATTATATAATCTCATTCCATAACTATTGTAGCAAAAATAAATAAATAAATATTGAAGTGATAACCGTGGTAACATTCAGAGATGTTCTTATTACCTCTATGCTATGTGTACTATTCCAGATGTTACTAAAAGTTACATAATACTTCCTTGAGATAAATGTACAGTACGTATATCGCAGGTGCCTCAAGGAGAGCTCAGGTTCTCAACTGGCTCAGCCATGTTAATATTGTTATTATTATCCACTCTGTATCTGTTTTTCTGGCTAAATAAACTTTCAATTCAATTCAAAAACTCTTAATTTGCCACGCACTGTTCTGTTCAACTGGAACCGTTATTGACACAACGTTGCTGAAATACAGATGCCAGTCAGTATGGAAGGTACAGACCAGTCATCATAGCATACTGCTGATTTAAAGAAGTGGCCAGGAGTAGAAATGATGAACTAGGTCTTTATGTCCCAGATAGATTGAAGGGAGTGAATGACCTTGTTGCCGAGGATGCTGTATACCATGTAGATAGTCGTGGAAATTTATTGTAAGGTCAGCAACTACCAGGTTCACCCTAAAATTGGTGGTGAGCAAAAATAGAGCAAGACTTCTCACATTACCTGAAAGTGTTAATTAAGGTGATTCATCAATGAGACTTGTCATCATTTAATCCACCACCACAGTGGTGCACAATCCCCTGGCATATTTTGATGATATGTACAGTAGCAAAAACAACTATCTGTGCAGCATACTTTGTGGGAAACAATATGAGACCATGGATGATAAATTTTGGTATATGAGGGCTGTCACTAGTCACACGTAAAATTTTGGAGCATATCGACCCTCACCTGCACAGATAGTTGTTTTAGCTAATGTACATCCCAAGACCATATAAAGTTAGTAACAGACAATTTATTCCACAAAACTTGCACTGATGCCCCATTCATATCCACACATATTTAATACTGTTGTAGAATGATTACTATAACATAACACATCCCTCTGATAATGTAAAACAGTTTAAAATTCCAAAACACAATATTGTCGACATGTGCAGGAGTGGTATACAGTACAGTACAGTACATCACTTTTGGTCTTTGTAAATGCATGTACTGTATATCTCAAAATGTTGCAGCTGATAACATTCATGTGCTACAGTACCACCTTATCCAAACTTATATTCTTTATACTTACTGTATTTACACACACTTTTCCTGTATAGTTCATGAAATTACTACTTCCTTTATAATTCAAACACTCATTGTCATTCATTAATCTTGTAAACAGACACTTTCTTTCTATACTCTTTACTGTCCAGTCATCCAGGACCTTTCCCATTTTCAAATGCAAGCACACATACACACACATAAGTCCTTGTTTATGCAACCTTCTATATGATTATCTCAGCTTTATAAGAGAAATGCTGAAAATTATGTGTTGAACAAATTATATACTTTTCTGATTTTAATATTCCCCTTTAAATTAGTGTCAAACAAGAGTAAATGAAAATGTTCACCGAGGAAACTGAATGTATACTAAAATCTACAGCTAAAACTTAATATAATACTTATGGAACTGGCTCAAAGGAAAAAAAAAGTAAATAAAAAAAGATCAGAGTACAGCAGTTATATGTTACTTAACAGTACCTACTATAGTATTAATTGTGTTAAAATTTGTCCCTCATTACTGTATATTTAAGACAACTCAGTAGCCGCACTTCTTTCCACTGTCTCGTTAGTTAGTTCCTAATCAATTTTAGATGTTATTACGACAGGTTACCATCACACAATCTTCATCTGGATCTTGCATAAATGCCTTACAGATGTTCTTAATAAAACTTTAACTCAACTCAGAAGCATTGTTGATGTCCTTGATAAAACAAGAACCAGCACTGGAATCATAAATGTGCTTCATATAAAAAGAATTCTTATGCCTTTCAGAACTGGGATTTGTCAAATGATTTCTGGATATTCAGGTAATAATTTTTATCATGATAAAGTACTGTACTGTAATGCATTATGTCATCCTGAAACTGAAATAGTAAAGAAAAAACATATAGGGCAATATTTACCTTAGCTAGAGGGTTTTGATGTTGGTGGTGAGAGCTGAGCGCCGAGCACCATGTGCCAAGCAGCTGCCAGGCGTACGAGATTTGTCACATATTCTTTTTATTTTAATATTTCTATTTACAATAACATCATATCCTGAAGCATTCATTCTCGCTCAATAGTGTGGAAGCACAAACTGTGTCACCTCCCTGGTGGTGGGAATGGGCGAGGGAGTACAGTACAATGCTTCTCACCAGGGGATGAGTCAAAAGTCAAGAAGTAGAAGCAATCAGTTGTGCTCATACCACCATAGTGGGAGATAAAAGCTGCTTGACCAATGAATGGCAACATTGGAGAGCATTTTCCTGGTTAACACGAACCAGCGGGTAATCTTGGGGTAACAAATCACAAATTTTACGTTCATAGGATTTTATGAAAGCTATACTGTACAGTACTCTTAAAGTAACTGTTATGTTCACATTTCTGAATGGGTTAACCACAAGAAATTTCAACATTAGAGTCTTGAAATTTTTTCTAGAAGTAAAGATGAAAATGAGGTAATTCTGATCATAATATTATGTAAAAACGTTGGAATCTAGAATATAAACAGTGTAGCCTAAATGTCTGAGTAGTTGTCAACTTTAGTTTTAAAGTTCGTGGATGCAACGGAATGCTAGAAGGCAAGTTGGTATGTGGATCCTCCTCCAGCAGGAGTGTGGGGGGACACAAACATAATGATTAAAATTTTATTAGACCATGAAATTGCCATTATTTAACTAGAGAGAAATTTATGATGCAAATTTGTCACCAAACATGGAGAAAAATAAATTCATTCATTAGTCCGAAAAACCGGTAAATCAAACCTATGTTGGAAAAAACATAACGCAATTTTGCTGCCAGCCTCTTAGAAATGAGATGACTGATGCTTTAATCTATAGGCATTATAGAAGAGGAAAATCTTGTCCTTACAGTATAGTATAAAAATTTAAATGAAGGTTGCAAAAACAATCATTCATACCATTTAACATTCTATTCAAGTAGTACATGTAAATAAGTATGTACATGCCTCTTGGCATATATAATCTATTGTTTCCAAAATTATTAATGATCTAAAACAACAACTAAGTTTGTCATTTTCGAGGTATGTAGCATTTGTAGCATGAATAATGTCTTCAGTGACATAGTGATCATTATCTCTGTTAACCTTGCTCCATTCTCAACAACATGGAGTAGAGCAGGCCCTTAAGCCCCTCAAGACTAAAACCTGTTAGTCCCTTTGTGAGGAGGGGGATCTATTTTGTGGTAACTTGGTATCTACCCTGATCCCACCCTTCAGTGTATCTCTTGTGACATCAAAGAGATACAAAGGATTTACTCTGGTTGGACACTCAAAATCTATGATAAAAAAAAAAAGAGTAAAACATCAGGTGGGGGGTAAATAAATGAAGTAAAACCATACAAAGAGATACTTCATGTGAAAATATTTACAAACCTGTATAAGATCTGGAGGGAGGTTGCCTGGCAGTGGTATGTTATTTTCACAATCAGAGACATGACCCTCATTACAGCCATCGTTTGCTTCTGCATCTTCACCTTCCCCGTTTACATCTTCATTCTCTACCCCTGCACCTTCTTCTTCCTCTTCCCCGCCTTCAGAATCACTATCACTAGACGACGAACCTGCAAAGTTAACAAGCAAAATAATTTTCTCTTGCTCTCTTTCAAAACTTATTTTTATACTGGTCCCACCATAACTTCCTTCACTTAACAAGGTTTAAAGTTTTGAAAATATGAAAGCAATACTTTGCAGACTAAATAATTTATGATACTGAGCATCCATCCAGGGATGTGATTCCACTGAACGGTAAACTTGACCAATCTTATAAATACATTCCATTTAAAAACGAAAGAAAAATCCATTCAAATTGTCGAATCATAAATAAAAATTGACATTGGCTTGTAATATGCAGTACTATACATGTCCAAATATGAGAGGATAATGGCAAGTGGAACTTTAGTTGTGAAATGGAAACAAGGACAAGTAACAGTCAGGTATGTACTGAAACACTGATACATATATTAATCAAAGCCAGGTACTATTAGAACAAACATGCAGTCAGGCCACAAATGATCACAATCAGGTAGAGTATAGTATACAGACAAATACTGTCTGGTAGAGTTAATTACTGTCAGGAACAGAGGTAAACATAATCAAGTAGTTCTGTCACAGTTGGGTACACAGCACAACAAAGTATAATTAAACTAACTTTTATAAAGTTTGGTCAACGAGATAGACTATAGGATATTGGACTGTGCTGTAAGCCAAGAGTATGTAGGATCTAGTTTGTTGAGAGATGTCAGAAGAACTGAATGGGGGAGAAATAGCTACCTTGGATGCAGCAGCACGAGTGCATGACTAGAAAGAATGGCACAGAGCTGTTTAAATGGAATGATGTGCTACTGATGTGTACTGTTAGGCTGATATATAAAGTGGATAAACCAGATGGATGTGGAAGAGCAAGACATTAACAGAACACATATGGTGAGGCAGCTAGAAAGAATGAATGACAGAGGGAGGGAGAGGCCGTGCTGTTCTTGATTTCAACCACCGAACTCCAGAGCTAGAAAAGGTTGGCAGGGGTGAAAAACAGGCACGTGTTATTAATGCACTGTATTAACAGAGGGTCCACTTACTTCCAGAAGAATCACTGTCAGAGGAACTGGAATTAGAGCTGGAGGAGGCTGACTCATCAGAGTCCTCTTTCTTCTCACCAGCTTCCTCTCGGGCTCTGCTTACCACTGCCTCAATACTGGCTTTTATAGATTGTTCATTTGGCTGGGTTTCTCCTAAAAATATTATATATTTTTATGATAAACAAAATAATTTTTTTGTATACATTTAAAGCAAATGAATTACTAAGATACAGTACTAATATAAATAAATAAATTTGTACAATTGAACATATTAAACATTACTTAGTTTTAAATACTTATTAGGTTCAATATTGATGGACCTAACATTAGCTTTTACTTGGTAGCTCAGTAAGGGTGACATCTGTTACTCTCTGATAACATCTTAAAAAAAGTGGCTGTCTAAGTTCTGAATATAATCTACTACCTTAAACTCTCTATCTTGATTAAAAATCAACTTAAGTTGTGTCAAAAGTAAGTCTTAGGTTTTTTTTGTCAGTGTTTCTTTTTATAAATTACTAAAACAAAATATGATATACAGTAAGCCTTTGATCTATGAAATTCTACAGTGAATGAGGTCTCACAGGCCTGATGGCCAATAATGTGTTGATAATAACCATTACCTTTACTTTCACTACCATTTACAACCTTTTCTGTCTCTTGGTCTGAATCTTTCTTTTCCTGGTTCTTAGCATTGAATTGACCAATCATCTTTTTTCTCTTTCGCAAAAGTTCGCCTTCATCCAGTTTGCGTTTCTTGTGACGAATAATACCATTCTCATACAACTTTCTCTGTGGGGAAAAGTAAAAAAAAAAGCTAGAATACTATAAGTGGTCAGCCCATACTTCCATCTACTCTCTTGAAAAAACTTGAAGATACTTTATCTCAAAATTCAACAGAAACTAATTATGGAAGACAAAAAATCTAAAGTAAATGTGAAAATGACAACACCTTGTACTGTACCTGGCCAAGACAGATGAGAGTAAGTCCTGTTTACATGCTGTACTGTAAGCATTCTTAAGTAAAATATATCAAGAGAAGAGAAGCCAAATTCTTTAAAAACTCTTCACAAATTAATTAAGGAAGTCTTACATCACTGAATAAAACTCTATGGTGAACTGTAAATCCAATAAGAATATCATATGTAAAATTCGTAAATAACAAAATGTCCACCATCCAACAAATACTGTACAGTAAACCTTCACAAAACAACAAATATTTACAACAAACTTATCATAAAGAAGTTACATGACAAAGAAAGACAAAGTGCCAAGTAGAAGATGATGATTGCAACACCTCATCCTGTACTTGTCCCCCCACCATTGATAGTCAACTTTACTGCACAGTAAAATCTTTTCGCGAGCACTACCTAATGTAACTAAGTCTTATATTTGGCGTAAAATATCGAGAACTTCGCGAGATCCAGCCAGCTGAATGCTGGCCACCGTCTTGAATGACATCACAGACCTCATACCAGTTACAGTCATTTCTACTACAATGCGTGTTTTGTCAACGCGAATTGGTTGCAACGCGATTGATGAATAGGGGAACGCTGTGTAAAACGCAAACTTTTGCATACGAATGTTGGCTATAGCGCGATTCCATCCTCAACAATTTAAGCATGGCGCGGGGTTATGCAATGTTTACAGTTCACGTTCGACATCACATGTTCAATTGATTCGTGTCTTTTGTTTGTGAAGTGTTTTTTGAGCGGTACTCTGCATTTTTTTTTAATTTAGCTGTTACTCATAAATACTGTATGAAAAGAATAAGTAAAAAGAATGTTTCGCAGTGAGGACTAATAACGGTCTACACCAGTGCACTTTGTTTACATCACGTGATCAGTTGAATCACGCGGTTTGTCAATTACTCCGTGATTTTCACTATTTTATCCAATTTTGTTGTGTTAGTGGTGAATATGGAAAGACAAGGTAAGAAGAATGTTTCCAAGAAGCGTTCTGGTGATCGAATTGCCGGTGGTGAACGTAAAAGAGGTTTACAAGAACGCAACTATCGCGTTGTAGCCCGCGCTATCCTAGCAACCGCTCGGGCTGTTATTGTGTGCTTTTTTGGGTGGTGTTACCACCTGTCAAGTCAAGATAATGGCCTCTACCTCTACTGTGGGTCCTACTGGTGCTGGTGGGACAGACTCACCTAAGTGGCCAAATAAGGAAAAGGAGAAGCGGGACTATCATAAGGGAGGTAATTTTGCCAAGTACTTGATGCAGGATAAGCAGCGTGTGATTAAGTTACTTGAGGAAGGCCTAAAAACTAGTTTCTGGAAGGCACAATCAAGTGAATAAGGCAGAATTTGTATCATTTGGAGGTTATAAATGGGAAAATCAGAGGTTGATGTAGAGTAGCCAGTCTATATTGTTATTTTCCCATTAGTTTATGTATTTGCATTTGGCAAATTTGAATTTGGCACAATTTTTCCAGTCTATATAACTCGCGCAATACAAGGTCTTACTGTAGAGTGTATAAATAAGTCCTGTTCACTTACAAACTTTCTTATATAAAACATGCACTATTTTCAGTTGTAAAAAGAGTAAGAATGAATAAAAGGAAGAAAGAGTAAGAAGAGGAGTAAAGAATAGGAGTAAGAAGAGGAGTAAGGAATAAGAGAAGGAGATATACGAGCATGAAGAGAATGTGAGTAAGAAGATTAAGAGTGAGACGGCTGTGATGTATTGTACTTTTTCCTTTATATTTTTGTGCAATTTTCTTCATTTTTGTACACTTTTCTTTATTTTCCACCGTGTATCAAAACACTTAGGCATTTATTGTTTGTGTTTAGTAAGTAAACAAATCTCTAGAGTATTGTTTGGTTAATTTTTTGTGCCTCTGGTCCCTAACCCTTTATTTTGCACTGAATTATGTGGAATAACCTGAGACTACTGTAATCCTTTAATACATTATTATTATCACCATCATTACTCAGATACAACAACAGCTGTTTTTCACCTTGACCCTCTCCCACACTCAATACAAACTGGTGAGGTAAACACTTAGAGCAAAACAAGTACAGTAATATAATGAGAGGTTATAGTTACCTTTTTAGAATGGCCTTCCTCATCATCATCCCCTTCATTACCTTCCCGTTCCTCCTCCTCCACCTCTTCATTCTCTACCTCTTCATCTGAGAGAATTCGAGTCTGAAAAACCAAAAACAAATACAAATGAGGTGGCCACTACATGCAAATATTGTTAAGTATTCATTCTATTGAAAAGAACATTGGTCTAAAGTCAGTTCCACATTGCAATTCCTAGAATTTGTAAGCACAATAACTGTTTTTTGTGGGGAAGGATGTGATGCTAGGTTGTGTGGACTGAAAGAGGTAAATTGGATGGATGTCTTGGGGAGTTGTTGTGGATGGGGAACAGCACATCAGAATACAGTGATATTTCCGTTAGCCGGAACAATTGGTGCAGAGCACTTCCAGGAATGAGATATTTCCATGTAACGAGACGACTCTCTCAAAACCGGGAAAAAAATCCCTCATCCTTGGAATTTTCTGGGTACCGGGAAAACTTTCTTGGAAGTTCCAGAAATTGCGTATTGCAGTACATCATCGCTCAAACCCGGAAAGAAATCCGCCATCCCCGGAATTTTCTCAGAATTTTCCAAAATGATGCATTATTTCATCTCTCAAAGCCAGAAAAAATCCATCCCGCAATTTTCCGGATACCGGAAAATGCTCCTGATTTTCATCCTCCAAATCCGAAAAAAAATTAACCAATTAATAACAATCCCCCATTCCCATAATTTTCCGGGTACCTGGAAAAATTTCTTGGAATTTTCCAGAAAGTGTGTCCTTTGGAAATTCATTCCCAAGGCCAGAATTTTCTTGAAAATTTCGGCTTTGGGAAAGATTTTCCGAAAAAAATTTAAGTTCCGGCTATTGGAGAGTTGAGGTTAAGAGGGATTCTGGCGAAAGGAAATGTTACTTATATATAAATGTTGCAGTACTTGGAGAGAAGAAATGACAATAAATGAGGCAGAACCAGTGTTTGTTCGTGATTCTGGTCCCCCTGCATAACCAATAACCACAGACCACATAATATTTTAGTACATACCTGTTTTTTTCTTTTTCTAACCTCGGCATCACTCTCAACAAATTCCTCCTCTTCAGATTCTTCTGCCACCATTTCAAAATCTAATTCCCCTGAATTAATGTAGAACCCTCTGTGTTTTGTCTCCATGTGTGTAGGTACCACTTCATCAAACTGTAAAGAAAATATAGTATGTAATTAAACACTACTACCTTATACTAAGTATAAAAAAAAAACACTACACCACCAATTAAGGGGCACAAATTGTGTTGTAAATGACTAAAGTGTGATACTGATTTGCACAAACAATTTTATCTTGCTACTCCACAGTCCACTATCAACTCAACACTGCTGATCTGTGAGACTGGGAATAAAAAGTTTCACCAGATAGTTCACTGAACCCTATACATTAATGATTAATGGAATGTAGCTGTTCAAAATTTTTTAATAGGGTTTGTGCAATTAATAAATGAAGCTCACTAGCTAAATAAGTTACCAGGGATTAATTTAAAAAGGTTCCTTACCAACAAAACATTGATATAAATGTGACCAGACATGGATCACAAGATTTGAACGGCTTGTGACTCAAACGCAAAACTTCTACCTTGGAATGGTGGTGCACTTACCAACTACAACATGGCTCAACACTCACTGGACAGGTTAGTCTTCCTAATACTGTACAGTACAGTATACTACATTAGGCCACTTTAATATGAAACCAACATTTTATTACTCAAAGGATAATCAAATAGAATACTGATGAGTGATTAGAATTTTTGATAATCTTCCCAAAATACCGTAAATTGCAGCGTATAAGTCGACATTTTAAGCTTGAAAAAAATCTCTCCAAAACCAGGGGTCGACTTATACTCTGTGTATAAAATGTGAAGCTGTACCACATAGTGGTAAACAAGTAGAACAGCCTGCCTAACACTCGCTGTGCATCATTTAGCGTAACTCCCGTGGCCTGCCGCAAATATTTCCTATTGAAATTCATGTTTGGTAAACTTATTTAACAGAGATTATAATAAAATAGTAAATTCCAGTACAGGGTATAATTAAATGAACACAAAACCACACGCCATTTTCAACAGCTGATGGACAGTAAACAGAACGTCACTAAACCCGGCGGCCAGCCAGACAACTACCCGTTACTACGATATGGGTGCCATCTGCGCAATTTTATGATACCGCTATAGATTTTGAGTTCACATACACTACAGGGGTAATGACAGTTGCATGACACATAATGGCAGTTCATTGAATATACTGTACACACAATGACACCATAATTAAGACATTAACCCTAAGATAAAAAGTTAAAACTTAAACTTCAAGATTAATTTTATTTCAGTTATATTTTATTGACAATAAAAGCATATATGATCACATTTTAAAATCCTTCAAAATCTGCTGGCTGTTCATCATCTAACATAAAGAGGTCTGCATATGGGTCCGAATCACTGGAACTTACGACTTCGTCTTCATTATATTTGCCGTCATCCTCCTCCTCGTCACTGTCTCGTCACAACAAATCATCATCTTCCCCATCCATTGCATTTGAAATCCCACATTTTTTTAATGATTTTATGACAGTTTCTACACGAACAGTTTCCCAAGACTTTATTACAAATTCGCACAACACATCCAGTGGTGGGGCACGCATATTACCCCCCTTCGTGAATGACTTTTCGTGACCTGTACTTTTTATCAGAATAGTTTTTTTGCCTTTGGTGTCAACAGTTTTATTGCTAAGCATATCAAAAAAACAAGGTGTTTCATCCATATTACCAATCTGACACTGTGGGTAGTTGTGTTCCTTCCTCAGTCCAATGACATCTATGGAAAGTTATAATTTTGTCTTCGAAGTCAGCTGGGAGTTTCTGTTCAATTTTAGTTTTCTGCCGCAAAACAAAATTTTTCCTCTTCATGAAGCGACTACACCAGTTTGCAGTTGCTTTAAAATTTTTGCTTTCATCTGGGTGTGTTTTGACCCACTTAAGTGCATGGGCGCATATGTCAGTTCGGGTTACTGTATAGCCATCTTGACTCTTTTCGTTGACCCAACCTTCTAAATAATTTTTCAGTTCATGCCAGTGACAGATGCCGGTCCTTACAGCACATTTTTTCTTGGGTATCTTCTTCAGGGAGGCTTCACTTCTCTTCCAATCACACACCATCTTTTCATTTTAGTAAATTGCCATGTATGCTCTTGCTGGCATCCACTCATTACCCACACACCAACCTGACAACAGTTGAAAATATCTTATCCCCATGGCTCCCCCAGCAAAAAGGATGAAATATGACACAAGTTTCAAGCTGAAAGTTGTTGCATTTGCAAACTCTTCAAAGAACAGTGCTGCAGCGGATGACAGTTTAAGTCCAAGCCGTGCTGCTGTGTTGCCGACAGTGTAACGGACCCATAGTTTTGCAGCTGGCCGCTTGGTGTTGGTGGCACCACTGGCAGTTTTTTTACAACAGTTGATGCAAATGGCAGATCATAAGCCAGGTGTACCATAATGTTCTACTATCATACCGTTTATAGATTGTACTATCAAGGTGCTATACTGGTATGCTGTGTAAACAATTAATATTTTATTGGAGGTGCTGATTTTGGCTTGGTGTTTACCAGAGTACTTACGAAGATAACTTACTGAAGATTTTTAGCGGATGCTTGCTGTCCTACGTAGATCCTGTTGCCCACTTCCCTTTTTGTATGAACTAAATAATATATATAATCAAATATTGAAAGGTATTACGGTAAGTGTCTTGATGAAAGTGGCGTGGCCTTATTACACACTTTCGCCTATGTTTGGGCCTTGGGGGGCCGACTTATATGGCGAGTGTAAAACTAAACCAGAATTTTGAACTAAAAATCTTAAGGTCGACTTATACGCCACAATTTACGGTAATAAAACTTAATTAGTATGGGAGAAATTTCTCTTCAATGGGAGTACTGAACAGTAGTTTAATATGAGTAATGCATATGTGTGTGTGAGTGGCCACATAGATCCGAGTTTGACAAGGGACTTACTCAATAAGCTCTGCCCACTTTTGTCTTTCTTAACAATGGAAGCTGACTGGTTCCTACCTGCTAAATGAGTCATAATGCCATGAAAGCAAATTTAAAGCCCTTTTTTTTCTTGATTGCTTACTACTGTACTCTACATACACTATAGGCCAAACCTATAAACCTGTTATTCTCATAACACCACCACCCTTGAAGAATATAGAAACCAATTAACACACTATTCTGAAGGGCATGCCACCTGCACTTTTGACTTGATATATTTTGGTGGCGTGTTTGTATTGTTGACTTTTGGGGATTTACAGTTACATCAGTTACATAGCAATTGTTAGAAATAAACACTAAATAAATAGATAAATATTTCTGTCATATATATAGTGACCCAAATTTCCTTATACTACTGTACAAGTTAGTGTCACTGATAAGATTTTCCAGTTCATAAATGCAATCACGTCTTTATTTTTAGATACCAATACAGTACTGTACACTAAATAATTAATGTTCACAATATAGGTAGCTAACATTAACAGTTCTCTAGTGAATAAACTTACAGCATCAGAGTTATCAATGAATGGATCAGTTTCATCGTAACCTTCTCCCAGTGTGGAAAAGTCGTTTTCTTTTCTCCTCTTCTTTTTCCTATTTGGTGTATAACCTCCCTGCAATATAGGTTAAGATATAGGTTAAATGAACTAAAAAATTTTGGATGATTTACTAATTAATAAAAAATGTTTCTTCATTTAAAATAACCATCTTGCATAATTTTTCTGCTGGCAACCCAAGCAGAACTGACTGCACAAGCTACATTCACAGCACATTTCTACCATTTCCTCTATTTTTAAATCTACCACACACATATGACTAACTTGGTCTTTCCACTGAACAAATAAAGAAATAAAATACAATACAGGGGGTCCCCGACTTACAAATGCCCGCCAATATGAACGAGGTTAAACTTTAAATTTACAGAAGTTTATTTTATTTACCTGATGACTTAAGTTTTTACTTTCATTTACTGTAATTTGTCATGCTTTTTCTTCTTTTCTCTTAAAATAAGTGATTATAGATGTACTGTATATAAGGATTTGGGCTATGATATAGTGGGATTTTAAACATTGTCCTGTAAGTACGGTATGCACATAGCATGTTTTCCGACTTATGTACATTTTCGACTTAAGAACGTCCTCAGGAACAGAACCCGTTCGTAACCCGAGGACCCCTGTAAATCATTCTATATATCTTCTGATTTACAGACTGCCCTCAAACTCTTATAATCATTATCTCAACCTAAAAAAATAAATAAATAAATAAACATAAATTTTGACCGCATTCATTACTCTAGTTCAGCTCTCTATACACTCCATTTTATTCTATAAAATCTATTTCAAATGTCTGCTCTCAACCAATCATAACCTTACATACTCACTAGCACACTGGAAGATGGATGCACTATTTTTTCCATCAGATTCAAATTTCTGATGAATTGCATCATTCCTTTTACAAATAAGAATCTCCTTGATAGATTAGCAGTAAACAGTATTTGCCTTTCACAACTTTATATATCTCAGATCCACTGTTTAATATTCTACCTTTTCCTATTATCTAAACATGATTTTATGTTATCTCTTGAGGCATAAGTGTATACAGTAGTGTACTGTACTGTATACAGTATTATATGATTACATGACACGAGTGAAAATTCAACAATAGCTACACGGGAAACAGAGAGAGATATGGGGAAGGAAAGTGCCAGGGAAGCTGGGTAACTGTACATGTACAGTCACTCAAAAAACTATCTTTACAATATTGTGTTGAGAAAATATGACGCAACGGACGAAGGATCTTGACAAACCTACTGAAACAACAGGAATTGCAGTGTTTATTCTAAAATTCATCGACCCCGTCCCCAAACAGAGATAGTTTTTTGGCAGACTGCACATAAAAGAGTAGCATTTATGAGGCAAATATAAGGAGAAAGGCAGAAAAATATGGTGCAAGAAGCCAAAAATTTGATAAATATACTGTAAGGGGTAGCTAATGTACTGCAAAATTTTGTTGATATGCAAGATGGAAACATAGGAAAAGGTTGAGCTGTGGCTAGTTTCTGCACTAGGCTATGCTTGCAACATATTGTACAGTTGAACACTACACATCAAATCTCAACTCAGTGAAACTTGAAGAAGAAATGTAAAGGATGGGAAAACGTTGAATGTTATTTGCACCAAAACAAGATGGTATCAAAAGGTTCTATTCAGTACTGTACTTGATTATTTACACATACAGTACTGCACTTATCTACTACCTGTACAAGAACCTGAAATACAGAAGCACATTAGCTAGCATAACTAATTAACAAATGATAAGATACTTACATATCTGTTCTCAAATTGCTTTGCTAAAGCCTTTAGTGCTGCATCTTCATCAGTAGCAAAAGGATCACCCGGGTCTAAAGCCGGACCATTGATAACATCACCCAATCGCTTCTTGCCTAATCTTTCATGCTGGAATTGTGAAGAAAAAATTAATTGTGAACAATAAATTAAAATTTACAACTTATTTAGAGGCCATAGAAAAATACAAAGTCATGAGTATATAATGTGAAATTATCACTCAACTTGCTGAACCTAATAAAAAGTAGTAGTGTGGGACACAAACTCATCACAAGGTGTTGGTGATACAGCGGTAAAGCTGTATTTACACTGGATAGACCAACTGCCCGAATGGCTGGTAAGCAGATAAGTGTCAAAAATTATATAATACAGTAGCTACTACGAGCAATATTTTTCCAAATTTTTAAAAAGAAAATGACAAGCAACACAAAAAATTGTGACATTAAAAATCTTCAAAATGAGGAAGTACAGTACAAACTCCCTATCTATGATATTCCGCTTTAACGATGGTGATGTATTAAGAACACCCCCCAATTTACGATGTAAATAATCCGCATTAACGATGGTCATCACCCAGCCAACGCGGACGTATCACTCGGTTCAGTTGTGAGCTGAGGTCTACGGTGTACAGTACCTGCGCATTGTCACCCGGTGCACAGTATCAAGCTTTGTTCCATGGTGAGTGCACATGGCTGTGAACGTGTAGCTCATGATAATCGGTCAGTATTGGTGTTGTTACTTATCATCTGTGTTTTGTTTTTTTACCTTACAGTGAGTGGACAACACAAGCATTCACATCGTACTCTGTTTTGGTGAATGTGAAGTGATTTGCCTCTGTTGTTGTGAACATGATGTGAGCAGTGTCTACCAAAATAACATTATAATCGCTCGCTCTGTTTTTGTGACAGGTACTTTCGCTCTGTTTTTGTGACTGTGAAGTGAGCAGTGTAACTTTGTAAATGTCTGGGAAGGCCGAGGCATCCAAGACAACCATGTCTCTGAGGTGAAGCTTGACAATGTTAAGCAGCATGATACTAGCCAGAGGCTGTGTGGGAGTCCGTGACATCTCCACTCCACCTACAAGAGTCCACTTAGCCTTGATGGGGACATGTGATGATGACCAGGTTTATTCTTCAGGATGAGGTGAGTGTTGTTTAACTGTTTTGTACTGAAGGTAGTACAGTACAGTATTGTAGGATTTTTTTGTCAGATGTGTGTTACTGGACTGGTTGGTAATGTATCCCATTGAATTCTATGTTATAATGCTCCCTATCTATGATAATTCCCTTGGTGATGGGTTTTCTGGATTTTAACCCCATCGTTTATCAAGGTTTACCTGTACTGTATTTTATATTCTATGAATATTAATTTTTTTTTTTTTCAATATATAGCTACCAGTATGAAATAGAATGAAAATATTTATGAAGCAAATAAATATACAGTAGAAACAAGAGCTAAGTAAAACAAAAACTCCTAATTACAAAAAAGATAAACAGGTTGAATGTGAGAATTTAAATTTTGAAGCAACTGGGAAGCAAGAATCTAGTGACTGCTCCCGTATATCGATATACACTCCACATGTTGGGTTAAATGAGGAACAGAAGGGCAAATTCTTGGACTTGTTAATGGCCATGTTGATGTACACACAGAGGATTATGAAGGATGCATGGTGGAAAAGGCTACAGTACAGTACAAAGAATATGGAAGCAGAAATAATATTTGAATTTGGGGAAGCACTGAATATTGTTGTATGCAACACACTGTTTAAGAGGAAGCCAAGCAGGCTAATTATATAAGAGTCAGGCAGCAAAAAACCCAGATTGACTACATATGGTACCTGGTACTCATCGAGAAATAATATAGGAAGCTTGTTTTGGATGTACAGATGAAGAATGGAGGTGAAGAATGGAGCCTTCAGAAGCTGGATACTTGTGGTATTGTGACCTTCCAACTCATTATCAGTATTTTTGAATAGTTGCCTGGAGTTATTGACAAACATAAAAGTCAGGAATTAATGGGAAGTTTAAAGGGCTCCTGCTAATAGTGTGAAGGAACCGTCCTCTGTAGAAATATTCAAAACATCCATGTGTTTATACCGATACTGTCGACCTTCTTGGGGCATGAATTCCTCCTTGTCCTGTTGAACTGTAGATTTCATCTAACAGACATCTTTGAGGTGTATGGAATTCCTCAACAGAAGCCCTAATTAATATAAAGTGGGAGATCCAAGAAGTTTTGGGTGGGGGGGGGGAGGGGAACATGGCAAGTAAGTGAGCCTACCCAGCTGATTGGCCAAATATTATAAAATAAGTTGAAATAGCTCAAAAACTATAAATTTCCGAAGGAAAAGATAATGATTAAATTTGTATTTTTTTTCTCTACCTCCCAATAAATGACTCAATATTCAGTTAGGTGGTGGCAACTTCTAAATATTAACCCTGACGCGTGTTTTAGTTTGTTATCTCTAGTGACGTGGAGGGGCTTGGTGGAGTCCACAACCTGGAGTGTGTTGGGGCCCAAAGTAATGGAGGGAGGTGGGAAAAAGGTCAGAGGAGAGGTTATTTGCATAACCATTGTCTTAGTATGGTTGATGGTGACATGGTTGTTGGCGGCCCAATTTTGAAGATTGCTCAATATATTCTGGAAGGCGGTCAAGTTAGGAGTCGAGTTGTGTGTGTCCCTAAAATAATATTAAGAACGAATTTCCAGATTTGTACCAAATGTGGAGAGTTTTATATAGGCGTAACAAGGTCCATGTGATAAGCTTTTGGTGCTAATGTGCTGAAATAGAGCAAGTTTTGCTTGCCATCATAACGGTAAGAGCAATGAGAATATGTAAAGTTTTTTTAGTTAAAGAAAACAATGACATGAGGCAGTCTCAAGTGGTGACTACTGGCTACATTTTCTCGTATTTAGAGTAATATTACTACAGTAGTGTGATATTTACCCTGTCGCGTTAGCAGTTCATGGACAGGGATTGCATTCACTCAAGCGATTTAATTTTTATGCAACTGTCACGTTCATATGGGGAAATATACATGTTTAACACCTCAAATCAATCATCCTTGGAGCATGAGCAGAGTTGTATCAAAGATATTTTCCATTTTATGGGGAGTTTACTGTACATATTATCATATGCTATAAGTAAAAAAAAATACTGTAAGGGTACTGGTAACTCAAGAGTTAAGGGAAATGGAGTATTTCACTTACTGGAAATGACCTAGTAAAAAAAAATAAATAATAATAATAATAATAAAAATCCTACATTTGTATATGCTACAATACTGGTAAACCCAACCTGGTTTGGATAAGACCATGCAGGGCCAATACATGTAGCAACAAAATGCAATGCTTTTATATGACAAAAATAATTCTGACAAATATTATAATGTGCGATAGTCTGCTGTTCTAACTTTACCCTACAAGTGGCAGCACTTCAGTATGCAAGGGTCTTCGAATTTTGTAAAGTACTGTACTGTATACTATATTACAACTACTGTATCAGAATTTGCACATATGTAGTCCAGGGTAAGAACAATTAATGACAAAGTGATAAAAGATTAATAGCACTCAATAATGGCATAATTCATCGAGTTGTTAATAATGTGTAATGAAACTGCAACTCTGAGCCGTTTCTGTCATCGTGTCCATCATTACCCGTCCCTTATCTATTGAAATAACTTGTTCAGTTACTTAGGATGTCAATATAATGCATATTTATGTGCTAGAGTAAACTCATCTATGTACAGTACTTCATTGGTTAAATGACAAGTCAGACCATCGACCCTAAAATAAGATAACAACTGTAGTAAGACGATAATATAACTAATGTTATAGAGCTACTGTCAATAACTAAATGAGATGCAGTAAGACCAGTTTAATTAACCATGGCACCAAAGAGAGTTGGAGATCAACCAACTTTTATGAGAAATAATGTAATTTTGCGTCCTCAAGGACGCAAAATAAGCTAAAAAAAACTGACGAAAGTGACACCCATTTACCTGTCATGCCTATTGATCAAAATACTGTTCTGGAAGTTGGATTAAAATGGTTATGAGTACGAATACAGAAAATTATCCAAATTTACACCCCGAAGAACTGCATGATAAAAACTTGAGGCAAGGCGAGTTCATTTCCCAAACATCCATATACAGTACTGCAAAGTATATACTGTACTCTCAATACAAGCAATCTTTAACGGTATTAATAATAATAATAATAATAATAATAATAATAATAATAATAATAATAATAATAATAATTACGAGTACCGATATTATTTTTAATAAAATTGAAAACACATCACATGGATGTGAATGTACAAGTAATGTGGAAGAGGCGATTACAATAGAGTGGGCTGCGTCAACATTCTCCGCGCGCGACTCTGGCTGGTGGTGGGGAGAGCCGTGATGAGTAAGAGGCGGCTGCGAGACGGCCCCCGCCGTTGACATCACACTTCCCGTCGCACGTGGGGCCGCCCGCGACGTCATCACTAACCCGTGACGTCACTGATACAAGTAACGTCACCACCCGCACGCCCGCGCCCGCGCCCACCACGCCCACATAAGCGTACACACGCCCGGGCTTCACGCCCACCAATCACCGCGCGCTCCGCGCGGTTAAGCCCCGCCCACTACGCCCCGCCCCATCTACCCCCAACCCCCCCTCGAGTCAGGCAGCACAAGCAATGAGGAAGGTAGGGGAGGGGTGAGGTAGGCCCACAGGTGGGGGTAAAGGTTGGGGGGAAGTCATCATGGGTCATCATCATCATAATCAAACAAAATTCAACAATAAATAAAAGTAAACATACTGCAAAGCAAAAATGATCCTTATACACTTTGCACTAGTAGCGACATCTGAGCGCTCCCTATATCACGGCTGCATTTAAAAGTTCCTAGTTATTGCAACAAGAGGAATAACTAAAGATGTATTTGCTAAATACTCTTATCTAGATTTAATATATTTAAAAACTAAAAACGAAAAAAATATCAACACAACAAAACAAGTCCTATGATATGGTAGCACGTTTTCAGCAAAGTACCAAGGCCGCACATTTTTGGCGCTCCTGATTTGGTTCATCGATTCTTTGGCGACCACGTGACCAGTTCCTTCGTACATCCGGGACCCACCAATTATATTTAGTCTGTTAATCTTGAATTGCCATCATCTACAACACGTAAAACTTATGGAGTCGAAATGCGTGCATAACATCACGTCTGTCCGTCACGCGGTTAAACTGCTTGCCCGCCTTCAGACTTGATCTTCAAACTGGACGACGTCTGGGGCCCGTCTTGCTATTATGATAATCGACCCTGCTCCATCTCACCCAACACCCTTACACCCTCATCCTCGACCCCCGCCACGTACCACGTTACAACAACCCCAGGGTGTAAACCCCACACCACTACCCAGCCTCACAATACGCATCATCCAAGCATCCGCGACTATTTTCTGATTAGGGGAGAGACAACTTCTGATTGGAATTTTCGAAAATTGATGTAAAAATGGTGAATTGTCAACACCGTGTAACAACCATAGATCCAAGAGACATACACCTTCGTCGCCTGCTACATTTACAGTCATTCCAAACGCTACTGACATTCCTCAGGATATTTGCCATCTCGGTTGCAACTTGCGGTTAACATTACACCTACTGATAATGACATCCAATGGATGAATAAATATAACTAATTAAACAGACAAATCATCATATCGGAGATTATTTAAGGATGACCTTGAGGGTGTGCAGCGAGTGTAAGATGTGTATGCACAGGGCGGTCCGAGGAAAGGATGCAAGTACGAAGGTGAAAGAGAGTGGAAGCCCGGACTCATGTTACTACCCGACGCCTCACAACACCTCCCAGACCAATGACAGCACTGCCTTCCTCATCCTCAACCTCCACCTCCCATGCCAGTACTCAAGGACTACTCCTCTACACCACCTATCCTGAAGTCGAGGGCTTATGGAATCCAACGCCCCCGAGACCACGTCCTAATTTTGATGGCTGAAGCAGGCTACATAATTGGTCCAGAAATAAAACTTGCATTTTTTACGTTTAGGGGGGAATGAAGGTTCGTTCACAACTGCCCTTGGGGCGCTTTGGCCCCTTACATACCCTTGAGGTCATACTTCATGGCGGTCCTCACTCGGGGACGTCCCCAAGTAAGGACCATGTCAGGAAACACGTCCCAGGCCCTCTGAGACACCTCCGAGATATCCTAAGTAAGGGAATATGTGAAGTTGGTTTTCTCCTACAGAGTGACTGTGTTCTCACCATGAAACACAGACGCTGTCATCCTGTACACCAGCTCTACAAAATGTCCATCTGCTTCTCCCCACCGGCCCTCTCCCTGTCCCTCACCAACCTTAGATCATCTTATCATGAGCTTCGGAATATTGATCATCAGAGAAGTATTATGTAAAATTAATATCTCTAACTGAAGGCTTAAATTCAACTTGTACTTGTGTTTTCATGCTTGTACTTACCAATTTTTGAGACACCAGTTCTCGATAGTTGAACTCCGGACAGGACTTCTCATTGGACTCAGCCAGTGTCAACATAATACGCAAGCTTTTAACCTTCTTCTCCCTTTTCTTTTCCTTCTTGATAGGGCCAAGGGTAGAAAAGGCTACCTTCTTTGGTTCCGTCATGATTCTACAAATATTTCCATTCAAATTTAATATAAACGATAGATATTTCGGATGACAAACATTCAAACACTACACCACTTCCCTTCCATCTTTCACTACTAGCATTCATGCGCATGCGCAGACTTCAAAAGACACAGTGGCGCGAATGAGAAATATACAATTATAATACTCCTTCCATGGGATATAGATTTTGTGTTTTCGTAGAGGATAATTACAATTAAAAAAAAAAGAAGATATTTCTCTTAAATAAACGATGCTGCACATTTCCTTCTTGTTATACACAAACAGGGGATCAGTACTATATAAATTGATATCACAAAATAAAAGTTCAGGGTTTTTCATCCAGTTATTTTATAGACAGTAGCATTGAAAGATAATTGATAAATAAATTTATCCTCAAGTTAGGTAACTAAATAATTGAATGCAATTTAAGCACGAAATATTTTTGTCTTGTTTTATGCTAATGCCCCTTACTGTTTTCATACGTCAAATGAAACTTATTTATAGTCCTCTAAATTAAGTTTTAACTATAGAGTTTAATTTATTGTTATTCAGTTATACAAATTATGTCAAAAATTTATTTTTTGCCGATTTGTATGATCTTTTAGAAATAAATAGACAGTGATTTGGTATGTTGTCTTGCTTTGCTTACTACTAAAGTCATCATGGCTGATGTACGAAGCTTTGGAATCAGGGATCTTTCTCTTTGGTCTGGTGGGCCTACTCCAGGGCAATTCTACAACTTTCCTGGATATAGTAAACAAAATGAGGCCAGGTCTCACACCATGTAAGTATTTTTCGAGGTTCCGTTGCCGTGTGCACTGTGATGCTCCCGGCGTCTTATACCAAGTCAGACTCAGCCCAAGACTCGTTGCTTGGCTGTCCAACAATGATTTTAGGTGACCAATGGCGCTGCAGTGGCCTTGGTAGTATTTACAGTCATGCTCAAGATGACCTGTGCCACTTTATCCTCATTATTCACCCTAGCTTATAAGAAAATTAATATTTCATGACAAAGGTCCGGCTCTTGTAGCAACCTAAAGAAAAGTTGTGTGATTTTATTTCTCCATAATGGCTGAATTTATATAATTATGTTACCATTACGGGTCTTTTTATATTAGTGCGCCATTCTATCTCTCTGTGTTAGAAACATGTTTTTCCAAATGTTTAAACAATTCTAAGACTTTCTTCTATGACATTTTCGTCGGAATTTAAGGGGGTAGGTTAAGTTAGGTTATATTTCTTTCGGTATTATAAATATCATAGAAGAAAAATGTTTTCAAATTGTCTAAAAATTCGGAAAAAAACATATTTCTAACACCGAGAGATAGAACGGTGCACTACTATAAATTGACCCCATTACGATAGAATAAAAGTGATTGGTGTTTCAGGTACCCTTCAACATCAGGTACTTCAGTCGTTGGCCTAGTGTATAATGGAGGAGTGATGCTTGCTGCTGATTCCCTGGGCTCATATGGGTCACTAGCAAGGTTCAGGGATGTGAAAAGGCTCTTCAGGGTTACTGATAAAGCAGCTTTAGCTTGTAGTGGAGACATTGCCGATTATCAGTTCATCAAAGAAGTCATCGAACAGAAAGTGCAAGTATCAAATCCAGTGATTTTACTTTGGCTAATACAGGTACAGTATTGACCCTCTAATCTGGGACCAAGACCGAACCGGGTTAGAGGATTTTCTGGTGTCCTGGATCCTAGGTCATACTGAACATCTGCTACCCCAGACCTATCAGTACACTGCATCAAGTTTTTTTTTTTTTTTTCACACACTCACAAAACCTCAGTTGAACATGGGTTTCACTTTATTTATAACAATAACAAATTAAATGAATACGGCCTACATAGCACCGTATCTTGGATTTGTTTGGGTCTGACTCTCAGAAGCTTGAGATGTGTCACAAGACAATGGCAAGCAGTAGAGCTCATAAATAATTATTGTTTGAATAAATAAATAGCCTTATAACCTGTATAAACCTTGGAGAATCCAGACCCAGCATTATTGGTGCAGATTTTACCTAAGACATTGCTCTAAGTATAATCCTCATTTCAGCTGTACTGAATACATTACTGAAGTATGCAGGTCTTCACTGTTTTCTAACCTTATATATGAGTCTTGTACCCATAGCATTAACTCCTTTTACTGTACATATCTCTTGAATCTTTTTATCACTCTCTACATTCTCATTGTGGTTATTTACACATACATATTGTGCCAACTGGGCAATACTTTATGTTCTTGGTCATATTAAAAGCTGATCCTATATTAGTTACCACATATCTCTTATATTTCGTTTTTCCTATTTTTTCTGTTTACTGTACATTATTTGGTATTGTTTAATTTCACACAACCATGGAATCTTTGGAGTTATATCTTTGCAATCAATAGTTTAAACAATTCTAAGACACTTTTCTTCTATGACGCTTCCCTCGCAAATGACCTATGTATACCGGGGGGTTCCAAAGACGTGAGGTTAGGTCATTTGTGAGGGAAACATCATAATGAAAAGTGTCTTAGAATTGTTTAAACTATTGGTTGCAAAGATAAAACTCTTAAGATTCCATGGTTGTGTGAAGGTAAAACGTTACCCATTATTTATAAACTCTGTTTTTAAAAGATCTCAGATTTATTGTGAACCTTCAATTCCTCACATCAGTAAATTTTCAATTGTATTGTATCTTATCTGAGAGGGAAGATTATGGGGAAAAGCATAAAAGTTTTTGTTGTAGAGTAAACCCCCGATATAATTGACTAATTGGGGGAAGTCTGGTTCTGCTAAAGTCAAAAGTCTGATAAATTCAGATCTGGAATAATAAAACGGACTCGGTCTGTTATATACCAACATAATCTGAAGTGGCTATGCTCATTTTACCATGCTTGAGGGGAAGTTCACTTGCACAAATAAGCCCTAAGCTTTTTTAGTAGCTAACTAATACCTTTCAGGCACATAACTCAATAAATGTGTGTCTGTAAGGGGTGTGGATTGGTGGTGTTAACATCTTGGCTGGATTGGTTCGTGTGAGCGGAGCTGTGTGGCTGGGTCATATGTGCCCATTTACCCTGCTTACAAATATTTATGGCACTTGATATACTTGTAATTTTGGTATTCATAATAAATACAAGCATATTTTGTTTTCATGCTTGTATGTTTTAAAATACCAAAATTCAGTAGCTGCAAAGTAAATTTCTCCAATCACAATCTGTGTGGCTGGCCAGCTGCTCACTGCAGAGTTGCCACTTTTTTTTTTTCTACAGTACAGTACAATAAATATACTTAGTTATATCTACCAAATAACTTAATGAAATATTGAGATTAAAAATTGACTTAATGATATGTGCAAGACTAATGTTAATTTGCCAAGCCAACCTTTATAAAGCAATATTTTACATTAAAGTGTGTGTGGTTGTGGACTGAACAGCCGATTCACCTGCCGTGTGACAGCAGTGCACGGACTGTTAGGTGGTCAAACCCACAAACCCAAGGTTGAATCATGGAAATACATACTGTACAATACAGTACTATACTTTTAACTCTGAAAACAAACTCATAGAGGAATATAGATACTGTAGACTGATTTATTGAGTTAAATTATCATAAATTTTTCAAAGCATACAATATGCAATGGTCTATATTATTATTATAGGAACATATTATGAAATAGATTAATAATGAGGAACAATCTGAACAAACTGAACAGAAAACTAACAATTAATTGAACAAAAAAAATCGGAAAGTGTTGAATACCTGAACTGTACTGTCTGTCATAATATTCTGAACTCAGTTTATTTGGATTTTCGGTAATTTGAGTAATTGAGTACACATTATATATTTTTTCAGATGGATATAAACCTAGAACAAATGGGTCAGAGGGTCCATTATATAGGGGGTTTACTGTACCATGTGAAATAAAGATACGGACTGTGTCGGCAAACTATGTTGTAAAGATTTTTGGCTTTATTTTGTAGTGGACACAATGAAAGCACAAAAAATGTAACGTTTTATTACATTGTTTTGCAGGCGTGATGACGAATGTGGAGGTTACACTCGTGAACTTAATGCTGGAGCTTTACACTGCTGGCTGACTAGGGTACTTTACAATCGTCGAAGTAGATTTGATCCACTTTGGCTCGAGTGCGTTGTTGCCGGTTATAAGGATAATGAACCGTAAGTTGAAGTCTCACACTTGTATTGAAAGATGAATAGAGATGTCTTACTTTAATACACATAATTTTCTTAAATACTAATTACTGTACTAAATTCATTAGATATCATAAAACATTGTCATTAAACAATGTTTACCATTGATTACTAAATCGCTACATGTTTAAAATAGTGTTTAGCACAGATTACCCAATCAATGATATATTTTCTCTTCTCAGGAATTGCTAGGGAAAAATTTATGTGATAGCAACACAATGACAAAATGGATCCTAGCCCATTGTTCATTTAACAATTACACTATCTTATTGAAGAGAAAAATATAAACTTGTTTTATAGATTATTCCCTTTACTAAGCAACTTCTGTGATGCACTCACTTAATCTATGGGTTGAAGAACTCGTGAAGTGGTGACTGGGAGCTAACCTTATTTACAGTACAGTATTAATTTAGTCTTGTCAAAACCATTGCTTTAAAGAATGGAATTGGATTAACACAGTATCACCTTTTCCTTCTCTATTTTCAATTTCTTTTTGTTCTTATTTTTTCTTCCCCCAGGCCCCATTGTGGGTCGTTTGACTTGTGCCTGGGTGGGCTAATTCCCGTAAAAAAAAAAAAAAAAAGTTTTCATTTAAAGAAGGAGGGCCATGAGCTTGGACATCACACTAGTGTGCACAAAATGCATCCGCTGTCAGGTTGGTCACATCAGGTTTCAGGCCTCACACCCAAACTATTTTCTGCTTGGCAGGATATCCTGCCAAGGTGCCACTGCATCATTATTTACACTTGAGAAGTTTACAGGCTGAAGCCACAGTCCTAAAAGTACATGCAGGCATTCCTCTACTTGTGAATATTCGACTTAAGAACTTTCAGAGATAAGAACAAACCTGTTCATATGTCCACTTGCCTACATTAGAGTACAATTGTCCCTCGGTTAACGAACACAATTCATTCCAGAAGGTCGTTTGATAACCTTAAATTTCGTTAACCGAAACCATTGTTTCAATAGGGTTTTGGGTAATTGGTTCCAGCTCACCGAAAATTACATAAAAACTAAAAATAAGTGCAGTGAGTTACACTTACTTTGAGGTGTGCATCTAGAAGGCTCCTGGTTGATGATGATTATGGAAATTAGAAATGGGGTGGAAGGGAGAAGAGAAGGCATTGGGGGTGGAAGAGAAGTCACCCCATGCTTCATGCTGCCATTTCATCCATAAAATTTTAGTTCACTTGGTGTAATTCAAGACTATTTTCTTTAAATCAACACTGCACTGCATTATATATTGTCAATATGTAAAATAAACTTCAGAATGACCAATAATTGTACTGTAAAAATAGTTTATGTTCAAGAGAGTCTCAAGCAAGATGCTTCCTCCACTGAGCAGATACACAAACTGACGCCATTCTGGGTGAGTCAAGTGGCTGTTGGGCGCGCTAAAAACTAGTTCCCTGTACTTCAATTATGTTAAATAATTGTTAAAATTGCTAAAAATTTTAATATAAGACTTGGAAAATTATTGAATAGTACAACCTTCTTGATATTTACTCAAATGGTAACGAATTTAAGCCCTAAAACCTATTACTGTATTGGCGGAGTAATGCTACAGCTGGTGAGCAGGCGAAAACATATTGGGAAAAATTCGTAAGGAATTCATTAACCGAATTGAATATTCTTATGGAAGGTAATTTGTTAACCGAGGGATCACCGTATATACTATTTCTGCATTAAAATACTCTGTTGCGTGCTGAGAAGATATACTGTTCAGGACTAATAAAAGACCGGCTACATATAAATGTGCAAGAGGACTATTGTCATCAAATGTATTGTTGTTTATGTTTTTGGACTCTTGGTGTTTGAACCACAAAACAAATAATGTGATAATTCATGGGTACTTACCCCAAGGGATGGAAAGATGCCTAATGAATTTAGTGTCAGTTTCCAAAACCAATTGTCATTACTTTAAAGCTAACAGCAGTGGTGAACTTGTTTTTGAATAAATACTTCACCTCCTGCAAGAGGAAGATTCCGTTCATTTGGAACTACAAAGTCAAAGGTCAGTGCCATTGTTACTAAAAACAGAATTTAGATTTTTTTAGCCATGACTCAAATTTCTATTCACCAGGAAAGATGAAATTGCATTGTGTCTTGTCCCTAGAAAGAAGTTCACACTAATATTTATGGGGTAACTCGATCAGAGTTTGTGGTCACTGTATGGTTGACTGAAGGATCAACCATCAGGTTTGCTGCTGCTTTTATTGACTTGAAGGTTTACTTACTATGGTTCCACCTTGATAAGTCACTACTGTTCCACTTATTACAAAAGAGGAGTGTGAAGCTTTTTTTTTCAGCATTTTGTCTGATTGATAAACTTAATTTAAATTATGTGAAAAGGTTCTCTTCCTTTTGCTTGTGGATTATGTTATGTAGGATACAGCCAAAAAAAATGGGGGCTATAGTATTCATGGTAAGAAAGAGGATCACTTATTTTTAGACTGATTTTGACTGGATTAAATTTGACAGATTCTTGGGTTATGTGGACAAGATTGGAACTGCCTTTGAAGCCAAGGAGGTTGCTACTGGATTTGGTCTTCATCTGGCAGTTCCCATGATAAGAGAAGCCAGAGAGAAGAAGCCGAACCTAACACGTGATGATGCACAAAAGGTAAAGATAAATAACATTATCCCCCTGCCCCCACTGATGAATATTCTCAAATATCACTAAAAAAATCAATTAAATATTTGTACCATGTGAATATTCCATTGGGATTTTTGGGACATGATGGTAAGGAACTACTAGGGGTTTCGAGTTAAATGAGCTAGCAATGAACATGAACTTGTCCAGGTTGCTTTGAGACTAAAACTTTTCAAAATACAGTAACTACCATATCATGGTTAAGATTCCACTCACTAAGCACCAATTCCCTTGGCTTGCAACACTTTAGAAGAATCTCCCTGTCTCAGAATGCAACTTGCTTTCCGAGTTCTATCGGAGGGAATGTTACAGGTCACTTGGGTCATACTCTTGGTTGTAAAATAAAATTTCTTTTTTTCAGTAAGCAATGTATTTACACACAAACAGAATTTAAGGTACAGTATACATATTCCATATTAACATCCCTCTAACACACATGCCTTTGCTCCCCTCCACTTTAAACTTTGGACAAATGTATGTATCGTCTGCATTGTGTCAATGTTTAGTCATGATTATTAATGCATATCTTTTCATGCAGGAGGGCATTTTAGTGAATAAAGGCTTGAAAGAATGGAAATAAAAACTTTAAATGTGTTTATTCCTCAGTTGCTGAAGGAGTGCCTGAAAGTACTATATTATCGGGACTGCCGTGCTCATTTCAAATATCAACTGGCTGATATAACCCCTGAAGGTGTAACTATCCATGATGACATTAACATGAAGAAAGAAACAAATTGGGAAGTTGCCAACTATATCAAGTAAGGGTTTAAATTAGTTGTTTATTGTATTGTTTTAAGCTCTCGGATAGCTTGTGAGATCTTGCTTGTATACAACACCCAGTCTGCCAGATATAAAATTGACTAAGTTGTCTAATGGCTGGTTACATGTTAGATCAGCATAAATTACTGCGGCACACCTCTTTGACCAACAAACAGTTGGTTAAATCATTGCTTTGAATCTCTAGGCCAGTGCTTCTTATTTTGCACAAATATGTCTTATGTGCTACTAAATGTATTCTGCCTCTGTCTAGAACAACTCATAAATATTTCTATCAAGGCTCAGGAGCCTAAGGAAGCTGTAACCCATGGCAGCTATGGCTAATCCAAAGATAAGGCTTCTTCAAAACAACCCTTAAAATGGGTTATATTGAACCCCTAGTTGCTTGAAGGCTGGAAGCCAATGGGTTGTGATATAGGCATAGCATATGTGCAACCCATTGTTCTTGATTCAGGCTTGGTTACAAATTTAGATACAGGACTAGCTTACCTCATAAGGTAGTTTCAATGCATAAACATTGGTAAAACAGTTGATAAATACACTCTTATCTCAAGAGTAATACCTATAACTGCATAATTCAATTTAATTTTAATAATGTACCAACTTCCTACATATACATACAGTGCTTATCCCCTCCCCTAAAAGTACACGAGTAATTGGTGTCAACAGAGTGGTGCATACTTAGAAACAGTGTACTTGGGCACCATAAACTAATGGGGAAAAAACCAATTGGTTCCAGAACCCTTCCAGATACACACGAACCCAAAACTGGTCTTACAAAGCACTTTTTCTGCACATAACCTCAATGAACATTACCTTCAGTTAAATATGTGTACCTTAGTTATCTAACAATAATAAAACCGAAATAAGCCCTTAAATAAAAAGAATACTGTGAACATACCTGGTGGTCGTGGAGAGGCTGGCTTGAGTGACGGTTTCCTAGGCCTGGGGTTGTGCTATAACCCCTCAAACTCATCAGATGCAGAGGGGCTAGGCTGAGCTGCAGAGGTGACTGACTGAGGGGCAAGGGGCAGCTGTAGACTGGCCAAAAAAAGTGATGATAGACTGGCATAGCCGATTTATATGGCTTGTGTAGAGGCCTTTGTAAGGCCGGAGGATGCGGTCAATCCGCAGCGCCTGTGACTCACTCTACCTGTGTTGTTTGTCACATCTGTTGCCTTTAGCAGGTGACGGTTGGTCGAAGAGAAATACTTATTCTTGGAGGCAATTATTTCTTGATCTGGAGGCTGCATGAGTGACATTGTGTTCTTGGGCAAAAACCAACCTTTACATTGGGATGACGTACGCTTAGAATTGCTTGATGACCAGGTGCATTGTTCTAATGCAAGGGAATGCTATGTGCCAAATTTTTTCTCACAATATGCTTTCGTCATGGGCACAGGGTCCTGGTCAAACCAGTCAAGAGAGATCTTGCAGTTGACCCAAGCTTTTTTGTTTACATCCACGTGACTTTGTGACTCCCTGTTGACACTCTTATAGCACCTTGGTCTTGCACTACCACCATAGGAAGCTTGTGATCCCCTGTAGCATTGCAGGTCATCATGTGGGGTGATCCTGTCCTTAGCAGGCTTGAATCCCAGTGCACCTCTTCCCCCCCTCCCTGTGAGATATAAAGTGCTAGTGGCATAAGCTTCTATAGGGTAGGTGTCCGCTGATATGATGTTGGCACTTGCAGCTCCGAAAGGTTTGTCAGCATTCATTTTTCATAGTAGACCTTCGCTGTCTCACAGGGCATTGCTGAATAGACCGGCATCATCATCTTGGTCTGTTGATCAACGTAGATAGACAGCAGTTTCTCTGTCTTGCCATGATCGACTGTAGCCTTTCTTATATGATAAATGTGATCATGAGCAGAAGTAGAGGATCTTTCAAGACCTGAAGTATCTTATGGTTGTCCCAATGGCCGACAAAATGTGTGGGCCACTAACACCATTGTCCAGCCAGTCTAATATCTCCTTGTGTGCCAGGGTCATCAACTTCACTCTTCTGCCTGGCTGGGCAGGTGCTGGAGTCCCAACAGCAGTAGGTGGAGTAACCATGGTAGCTGTCACAGCCAAAAACACCTCAAAAAGCAAGCTGTTGTAGTATCTTGAGGAGAGGACAGGACTGGGACTGGCACCCACTTTGTTGATGTCACAAATTTACATGCTTTTACTTGGGTTCCTCATATTTGGGAGGAGCACTGTATATCTGTGTATTATATATGTATACTGATAAAACAACTGTATTAAATTTATTTATTTTCCTTTTTCAGGGGTTATGAATAAGAAATTTGCCAGCATTAATTGGGAGTGAATGGATTATCTGAAGTATAAGGTTGGATTTTTTTCTTTGGTATTTGTCATATGTTAGTTTTCTAAGTACTGTACTGTCATGTTCACATGGAAAGCATTAAAATAAAATTCTTTAATACAGATACATATTGCAGTTGTATAATTTGTACCAGTTATTTTGAATAGTGTATGAGTAGACAAATAGAAATTGAGTCCACACAGGTTGGAGTCAGCAAACTTCTGGTGCACTTGGGAATCCTTCAGAGGTATACACGGAGGATGTGAAAATAAATTGATATGTATTGTATAGTTCCGTTCAGAAGTTGGTTATATTCTGTTGGTGGAGGGCACATAGCCTGTTGTACCCTTCCTGGACAGCAAGGCAGGCATAGGCCAGAGTTTATTCCGATCTTGTGTCTTCTATGCCAGATAGGTTGCATGCAGGTATTGAGAAGGGCAGAGGCTAGCAAAGGTATTAAATTATGTGAAAAATGGAATTCATTTGTCCTAAAGTGGGAGTGTTGCATTATTTCTAAATAGATATTGGTAACCAATAATTTTCAGACTACAATTTATACATACACAATATGTAGATGAAGAAAATATATATGACATCTATTCGCCATAACAATTGATGCAGAGCACTTCTGGCAGCGAGAGATTATTGGGTGACGGGACGACTCTCGAAGCTGGTGATTATGTTTAAAATGTATCCCTATTATTTGTATTCAATCCATACTATATAATACGGTTACAAACCCCCTTTAGCCACTTACCAGCTTCCACTGGCCAGGTCGTATGTACAGAAGTTTTGTAAACCTGCTCTGTGCTTGACCTTCTGGTACTCTTGCTTTACACCAGGCCTTATACAATCTTCGTTTCTACTTTAACACTGTGTACATCATCATTCCACCACCATACCCTGCTGTGCTCTTAGTCCTGACATCAGATCACCCTTTAATGCTGCCTAGCAATTCTCTAAACTATAGGCCACTTAAATACCAATTGATGATTATTCACACAATTTATATTTTCCACTTTTATTCATTTTGTTGTTTGTATGCACAAATGGTATATACAATGATTATGTACACTGCTCCTGTGGACAACAGTGGTACACTTACTTCTTGTACACTGCTATATACATGTCAGTTCAGTACAAAATATAAACAGCATGTTTCATTTATTCCAATAAACATTTAACCTAATTCAAAACCTTATGAATTCACTCAAAATTAAACTATGATTGCACAATGGACAAGTTAAAAGTAAATGGCCTCTGTCTTATCCTACCTTTATCACTCACAGATCTGAGACCGTAGAAATGCCTTTGCTTGGGGAATAACTTCAGGAATTTGTATTAGTCCATGTAATGGACATAAATTAAATAAGATATTAACCGTCTGGTTATTGTGCATTCTTAATTTTATGAATAAAATAACAAATACAACTATTATGAAACGGCTTTCAAAACCAACCATACAAACACCAGCACACATGGTCATTCCTGCAATAGCAGTCATCACAGACAAATATAAATGAACAGTTAAGTGTGTGATCATTTGAACATGAACAGTTAAGTGTGTGATCATTTGAACAAGTGCATGTAAGTGATATAGTGAATGTGTGTGTAAGTAAATGAGATGAGAAAATATAATGGTGTTCCAACACCAACGCTGCATATTACTTTTCACCAATGCCCGTGACATGGAACAGCATTGAAATTTTAGTTACAAACCAATATTAACACTTGCATGTACTTGAGATAAATAAATACCTGCAAGTAACATGTACCAGAAATTCACATTGATGTTTCTCCATGTTAACACACATGGTCAGTGCTATGAACTGCTTATTTTCTTTAGGTACAACCTGTATAATACCAGTCTTTTTATATATATTATAAAAAAACCATTCAACCTAAAATCCAATATTGAGTACATGTACTCAGGGTATGCATTCTTTGAGTCTGTAGAATGACATGATTGTCTGAAGTACAAGAATAAAATGTTTAATAAATACATAACATATGGTGCATTAAATGCTGACAAGGATCATATGGTACCATCGAGAATTTTCTCCAAATATGATTTAATGGACACTCTTAACAGAAACTTCTCGAACACCTGGGAACAATGGATGTGTTTATGAGCAGAATGGGGGTTAATTTGGAATGGTTTCAGATTCTCCATTCATTTTTCAGATTGCAGTGCTTATAGCATTTGAGAAGTTTTTGGTGAGAGTCTACATTAATACTCTTAATATGCTCATATCATTCAATGACATGCATTCCAATGCCTCCTGGATGTTCATCACCCCCACTTCTGGTATTTTTCATCTCATCCTTCATCTTTATCCTCCTCCATCCTACCAACCACCTTTGAATATACACTTTTGCCAATTTTTCACTTCCCATTCTCTCAAAATGACTGTACCACCTTAGCAAGCCATAAATATGTCTAAAACTCCTTATTCTTATCTTATTCATTCCCCTATATTACTCAAACACTAATTTCAGGCACCTCTAATTTGCTTCTTCCTCTTGTGCCTAGAGTCCCTGCTTCACTTCCAGAAAATAATATCAACTATACAAATCTGTACATTCCAAACTTTGCTCCCTGTGACTTGTAGTAGTACTATCTCCATACATTTATAAATGCAAGTATCACTTATTTTCTTCTACTACTCTGCAGGTCCATTTATCACCAATTTCTCCATTAACACACGCACACATAAAAAATACTGTACCTCACATATTTATTCAAGCTAAAACTTAATTCAAATTTGCCTGATGGTAACTGGGATGCCATGCCATCAGGTAATCACGGCTAACATACGTAGGTGTGAAAAATTACCATAAAATGGGAATGATTTCTCCCTCCTGTACACATGTTGATCAATTAATTTTGTTCACTTTCAGTTTTTCCCAAGTATGCACACTCAAATTCTTCCACCAACATTTATGACCCTTCTGAACAGTCCACCAGGACAATATCATCTGCAAAAAACCGATTCACCTCTCTTTTGTAACATGTACTCCTACATGGCAAACTTACTTCATGTTCCTGTTTGCTTGCTTTCACCACTTACGGAAACACTGAAGAATGGCAACAGTATGCATTTTTAACAAACTTATATTCCACTTCCCCCGTAAAAACTGTGAATAGCATTCGGTTATTTCTCAATACCCGTACTTCCCACATTGCTTTTCTATCACTCTTACTCGTATGCTTTTTCAAAGTCCATAAATGCCACACATTCCCTCCTCCCCAATCATTCCACTGTTTCTTAATTCAAACAGTTTGTTCCTTAATGCAAACAGTAGATGTGCACATGCTCCTTTCCTGAATCTACAACACTTTCCTCTGGCATCAACTTGTAATCATTCTATGGCTTTTCCACCTCATATCCTGAACACTTCCATGGATTTTATCCACTAGTGGAGCCTCACCGTTCTTAAGCTTACTTATCATTCCTCAACATCCTAAACAAATAACTATGCTTTATTCTCATGTGATACAAAATATTCTATCTCCCAACTAGTTCCTCTTTTTGCTCATCAAGTATCCAATCTTTCATTCTTAATTGTCAAAATTACACTGCTCTGTGGATATATATATTATATAAATTAATTAATATACAAATATTCCAAATTGTAGCCGCACATCAGGTTTACTTCAACTCTCGACTATCCATGATTGGGATTGTATAAATTAATAATTTTATGCAATAAATTGGAGTTAAGGGCCTGCAATGTTTAAAAATATACTATGGAGCAGAGATGCTAAACTTGAGGAATGGATCACAACTGGGAACAAGGGCTGCATCTTAACTGTACATATCACCCCCCTGCTTGAAGGAAATGCTATTCATTATAAACAAACCGAAATTTTTTCTCTATTCTAAGTTTAAAGGGTCTTTATTTCCATCAAATTTAGTTGGAATTTATTGATATTCAAACTTATTTTAGGCTTCAGTATATTGGACAAGAAGTCAATTTAGTACCAAATATGATATAAATCCAATCCCATTGTTTTATATGTACAGGGATGACAAACATCTGCAGATTTATAGAGAATCTCAATTCCTGAAAACCTTCAGTGCGGAAATATTTATCGACATGTTCTATCTAATTGGTTCTAGAACCTTGTTCGTTATAGGATTAATCCGTTCCAGGCCCCCAAATACAACCACTTAACACTGAAAAATATAATATAAAATTGTAAAAATTGTAAAAAAGTGCATAAATATGCATCTAAACCCCTGAAATAAAGAATAATTAGTATTTGTAATAATAAAACAATAAATTAGAAGAAAAAAAATTTAAATTATGTTCGTTGTAGGAGTTTCGTTCGTTATAGCATTCTTAAACTGTTAACTTTTAACATTCATATTAATTTGCCCATTTAAGATTCTTGACCTTAGAACATCCTTAACTCACAATTCAATTGCAGTCAATTAATTTGACATAACTTTGATTTTTATAAATATGAAACTGAACTCAAAATAAGAAAAAATCCTTGCCTCACATATTATAATGGGTTAATATGTAACATATAATTGGTCACTTTAAAATTCTGTTAATAGTGTTTGTAAATCAAGAGATATGCTATTGAGCATCTTCATACACTGAACACCAAATGCCCTTTACAACTGAAACTATCAGTATATTGCTAGCATATTTAAAATTAATTGTAACAGGCACACACGTGCACACACAACTGTATGAATCATTCAGAAAGTTTCAAAGCATGCCTAACTTACAATTTAGTCAGTCTTTAAATTCACTAAGACACATTACAAGCTGTTCATGTAAGTTTCTGAAATTATCTCAAGATCAGGAAAGTGATGTTAAGGTAAGGTTCCCACACAATAGTTAATACAGAACTATAACCAGACAAGTGGATCATATATTCTAAACTTGCTGTAACTGAACTATAAAACAAAACTTCTATTAGTTGTATAGTGGATGAATATTTTACAAGGTATCTCACTGAAAATCTGTGTGATTCACAGAATATACCTCAGAACAGGGGCCAAGATGTCAGAATTGGTATTGCTTCATGGCAGATCAATAATGTGATTACAGCCCTGTTACAATAGGTATATAATGCTATACTGTACAGGGTATAGGAGCAAATGGAG